CTCAACCCAAAACTCGAAAGCCAGCATCGTAGAGTCTAAATCAACCCTGTCAAGCGGGAACCGCTTTGGTGAGCTAGGGAAGCAGAGTGGTTAGGGAATCTCTGGGTCAAACCAAAAACCACAAACCCTAAACCCAGAACCCTAAACCCAGAACCCTAAACCCAGAACCCTAAACCCTAAACCCTAGATGGCTGAGAAGTGCCTGGTTCTCTGTTTTCCCATAGGACTGCCATGGTTCCCCCCCAGACAACAAGCCGGAAAACGCCCTAGCAGCCCCAGATAACCCCTAGGAATGCCCTTAATTGGGTTAGGGTTTAGGGGTTTAGGGTTTAGGGTGAGATCCCATGATGTTTGTGTTCCTTCCTTCGTTGTCCTGTTATGTGCACGCATGGCGAAGCGGCCTGTTCGGCCAAGTCAAAGCCCCCAAAGCTTGAAAACATGAAGCATATGGGGGGTTTTCCAAAATTAGGGGTACCTACTATAATGGAGAGTCAAATGGAAAAGAAAATGTAAAAAAATGGAAACTGGGTTTATATAGGGAATTATGGGGATTAGGGTTTTCCAAAATTAGGGGTACCTTTTTGCGGGGTCCCCATAATAAGGATTAGTATATTAGGGTCTGTAGTGGGGTCCCTTAGTTGTGGGAAGCTACCATATGAGTAGCTATCTTCTCCTAATATCACACGGATATTGCATCCTAGCTGAAGGATTTCCATTGTTACCATTGAGATCGTGGCTATCCTAAGTTCTTAGCTTCGAGCCTCGCGCCCAAACCATTCCGTCTCCGGCGCTGGGAATAAGTAGGGAATCCCAAAACTCTTGTGCATAAAGGACCAGTGTGCCGCCAAGCGAGGAGCAAATAGTTTTGTTAAGAAAATGCAAACCTGGAGGTGCTCCAAACGCCTTCGGCAAATCATTCAGGCTCCTACAGGCCACTCGCAGGGAATGAAGTGATGGATCCCTATAGTGGTTCCTTGATAGTCCCCATGAAAACTCCTTAGATTTCATTCCTTCATGCTCTGCTAATCATCACTAGCCCTAGACCTTCGACAGGAATACCTAAACCAGCAACCCCTAAACCCTAAGCCCTGAGCCTTAAACCTTGAGCGAGGAGCCTTAGACCCTAGGCTCCAAACCTTCTTTTGACTCCCTTGCGCTCAGGGGAGCAGTTGACCCATGACCACAAGCCATGAGCTCGATATGGCTTGGATTTTGCAACATAAAATCCACTTTTTTTTCAGCTGCTGGTACCAGACCCCTGAAAGGATCCAAAAAAAGGACCTCCCAACAATCCTTTAGTTTCCCCATTGTAGTAATGCTGTCGTTCTGGGGGCTTCATCTTTTTGGATCCTTTAGGGTGTCCTTGGTAGGGGATATGCTAGAATTGGTTCAGGAAGTCGGTTTCACACCGACTGCAACTAGAAGGGGAGCCCCTGATTCTTGGAAACAAGCGCTTGCGAGCATCTGGAGGCAGTAGGTCTTGGCAATGTTTGGTTTCTTCTCGCGCTGGGTTTATGTTGATTTTTGGCAGTTTGTTAAGGAATTTGCGAGCGTACGAATTCAGAATTTGCATTCATGAAGGTTCAGGCCATGGATGTGGCTTCAAGGTCTTGTACCATATGGTTCGCCTTCACGTTGACGGTGCGCAAGTTAGAGGTTTGCATTTTCATTCTCATGCCGCTTGTACATTCGAATATGACTGTAGAACTCAAGCCCAAGACCTTGAAACTCTAAGTCCAAGGCCATCAATCAATCCAGCAAAATCCGGCGCTAGTAGATGACAAAAAGTGTGAGCAGTCCCTGATAAACCCCATGTCCGATAAACCCCATGTCCCCTGTAGCCCATTGACTACACTAAGTTGTGACGTCGGATTTCAACAGAGTTCAGGAGGCACAATTACGAAGGTTGTCCTCGAGAGCTTCGTATGTACATGCTCCCAACTCCCAGAACCTTAATTGCAGCCGGATAGAAGTTCGAGAGGCAAACACATACCTTTCAACCGCGGGCCCCCTTCAGTCGTACGTCTCAAGCACGTGAGTGTAGTAGGGAATAAATGAATGAGTCATTGGGATTCTTATATGGAAGTATAGAGGGACTACGATGGCATTGAAATGCATTCCTTTATCTTCAAGGCCTGACCTAGATGCTGAGCGGCGCCGGATCGAGCCCCCATCTCAGCGTTTGACAATTTCAAGCTATAGCCAGGATATCTGTTGATGTTAATGGGATTTATGATAAGGCTAGGCTTCAGGTCTGTGAGGCAACATGTTGGTTTGTTGCTTCAGTGGTTCACACATTGTCTCGTTGTATTGTTGAAAATTTTATTGAAGTGATTTCTGTTTCTATTGCCCGTCCCCATCTGCCTCAGCATTGGCATGTACCTGTTTATGGTCTCATCTTCATAGTCAGCAAGAGCATATTTTTCGTTGATCGCACTCCTTATCTTAATTTGTAGGGAACGGGAACATGATCCCCATATAATCGCTAGATAACATGAGATGCCTTGCCGTATTCCCTACTAGCTGCCAGTAAGCTGAGGGTTCTTTACGCCATCATCATTGCCATAGGTTAGGAAACCCCAAACCCTAAACCCTAAATCCTAAACCCTAAACCCGGAAACTTAAACCCTAAACCGGGGTCCACCAAAGCCATGGTATTGCCGAATTATCGTAGCAAGCGTCCTTTGAAGAGCATTTGCATCATGGCCACTTTGGGGCTTTTGTACTCATCGGGGTAGGGTCTAGGGTTTAGGGTTATTGGGGTTGTATGGGGATAGTGGAAAAGAAAAGGGAAACTACTATAATGGGTGATATAGGGTTTAGGCTTGATCGCTGTGGTGGGTGCATATGGTAGTTGCCCTAGAAGGGGGAGGCCCCAATATAGAATTCGAAATACTAGAATCCTTATTACAGGGACCCGCTTGAAGCTACCCGGAATTGTGGGAAACTCCCATATTGCTTCGTTCTCAATCTCTATCTCCGCCGACCTCCTCATCTACATCACCATAACCAAGATCACCCACATGACCACGGCCGTCATCATCATCGTCGTCATCACCAGCATCCCCATGGGCATCAATGTAATGTTCTTCATACCTTCTTCCGTTTGGTATTGGCAAAGTAATGCTCTTTTTTTTTTTTGGTCTCTCCTGTTGTGAGGCTAACCCTCAGCCCTAAACCCTCAACCCTAAACCGGGTGGAGGGCAGGCTTCACGCTGTCTTGCAATTTAGGGCTTAGCCGCGTAGGGCTTCAAGTTTCGCTTCATGGTTCAGGCTCTCCGGGTTGAGGTTTCAGGTTCCTCAAACCCTTCCAGAAGCAGTATTCGCCTTGTTCTCGAACCGAAATCCTGAATCTCCAAAAAGCCTACGCCTTAATGCTTGCCCAATTTTTTGCAGGCCTGACAGCAATGCACTAATATGTGGGGATTGTCCTGCCTTGGTATAGTTCGCAAGCCTACACTCAGGGTCGGATAGTAACTTTGCTCTGCATGTAAGCTTCTCCCTTACTGGGAATGGCACTGCAGGCAGACTCCCAAAGGGGTTGTTCAGTCACTCTGCATGTAGCAGCAGGCAATGTTTCACGGTTGCTCACAGCATGGTGATCATCATGATTGCTATTCCGCTGGTTTCTTTTGGAGTCTTGTTGCCCTGTCCTTCTTCGTTATCAGATTATTACCCCGATATACTACAGTAGTTTCCATTTTATTTTCCATTATCCGTATATAATCCCCATATAACCCCTACAGAGCTCCTATATAACCCTATAACCCCAATGTAACACCAATTCCCTCTTTCTCTGCTTGTTGTACTTTTGTCTGGTACCGTCAGAGCTGTCACTATAAGCAACCTGCAATCTGACCTGAGACAAGAAACCACTGACTAGCCTAACAGCCTAATTTAATCAACTCAGAAGCGCTCAACATCCTCACCCATGTGAGCTAGAGTCTAAACTCCTTCCTAACCAAGGGTTACAAGATGGTTACAACAGCGCTAGAATGGGCTCAGTAAGGGGACAAAACATATTATCACTAAACTCTAGGATCCCTCAAAGTGCCCTAAACCCCAATCCCTAAATCCTAAACCCAAAGCCCCCGAATCCTAAGCCCAAAGCCTTAAAGCCTGAACCATACCTTAAAACCCAAACCCTGAATCCCTCAACCCCCTCAACATCTGATGTAGGGAGCATGTTGGGCGTCTCTGCGGCTCAGGCAATGTGGCGGCCTGGTTGTGCGGTTGCAGCACTGGCTGAGCTTTGTCGGGTGTAGGGTTTAGGGTTTAGGGGCAAAACTAGGCTGGTCCCTCTACTAAGGTTGTAGTATTTTGGGGTCTATGTTGGTGTCCCCCCATCTAGGGAGACTACCGCATAGTTGTGGTTTAGGGCTGCGGCTTAGGGTTTTGTCGGTAGCGTAGGGGCCCAAATGATTGGAGTTCAGGGTTTCGGGTATTGTCAGATACTGTAGGGGCTTAAGCAGTTATGGTTGCTTGTGTACAGGGGGTACATAGTCGTATGCAGGGTGTAATGTCGAATCCCGATTAGTGTGGGG